ACCTGCCTGGTACCCTCACTGATTAATCCATAGAGTGAAATCCTTAGCAAATGCTCATTTTATATTCATGTGAACTATGATATTATCATCATCGTGGAGGCTGTGTAGCTACTAAGGCAAAAGAGCTGGGATTTGCACCTGGGCAGCCTGGCTCCATCCCCACACCTGACTCAGCAAGGTAACACAGGTGCGCACACTGACCTCCCAGGAGACTTGTGCATATTGAGTGTTGCTACATGACAGGCATTCCTTGTGAGCAGAGTCTGTGGAAGACATGCAGTCCTTTGCCGTCTTGGAAGTGGAGGGTGTGGAGGACAGTAGCATCCCTGAGGTCTGGGGCTGGGAGCTGGGCTTGGTCTTCCTGGTGATCCATCTCCTGTATTCTTCTCGTACCTGGGCACAAAGACCCCACAGAAAGCTCATCACTCTGGATGAGTAGGAAGATGGTCCTTGTCCATGGGGTCTGGCCGATGGATGGGGAGGGGATTTGGGGGCTAGAGCCGCATACCTGGCGGTTGAGCAGGCAGTGGATGAGGAAGATGAAGGCCCCCTGCAGGCTGTTGACGATGGTGAACAGATACGCCATGATGCCTGCAATGGGTCCAACCTGAAAAATGCCCAACACCCAGGTGCAACCCAGGATGAAGAGCTGGGCGAAGGCTTTGAAGGTCAGTAACCTGGGAGGGAAGATTTGCAAAGCATAAGAGAGTGAGGGGTGGCGTTGGCCTCCTGGGCCACACTCAGAGTAACTGAGGCTGCCAGTGTGCTACTGACCTGCAGGGAGGGTTGGATAAAGGCAGAGTAAAATCTCCAGGCTCAGATGCAGGGAATTAAAGTATAGTTTGCCTATGATACACACAGTACAAAGATGCATGGATGCATGGCTTGAATTTTTTTTTTTTTTGTATTAATCAAAGTCTAGAATGATCCAGGTGCCCAAATTTTGAGGTATGTTAAATGACTGGTGAAACCATAGGGTAAAATATACTGAAGACTTTCTTTTATAGAGATAAAATTCATCGCACATAAAGTTCACCACTTTAACTAAAGTGTGCAATTTGGCCACACTGAGTGTATTCATGATGTTATGTAAGCATCACCATTATAGAGTTCTAAATCATTTTTATTATTCCAAAAACTGAATACTTACTAAGCCGTCATTCCCCCATTCCACTTTCCCACAAGTGGAAACATCCCAAATGTTCACAAAAACATGTATGGATCAACAAAATGTGGTATATCCAGTCAAGGGAATACTAGACAGCCATAATAAAGAACAAGGCAAAAATTGATGAACAACATGGATGAATCCCGCAAATTTCATGCTGAATAAAAGAAGCCAGGCATAGAAGATTGTTTAACCCCACTGTACCTCAGTTTCCTCATTTGGATGTGGAGATATTAATGCAATGCCTACATCATGAACTCATTCTACAGGTTAGAGATGAGATGGGAAAACACTTAGGTGTTCAGAGCCATGTGCAGTACACACGAGGCATTTCTGTTAGCTGCTGTTAGCCACATATATCAATAAGCAAAGAGCTCCATGTTGCAAGGACGGATCAGGTAGACAACACTATGCACGGTATTCTATCATTTATGAAAAATATAGAGGAAGGTTCAGACCTAGATTATTTGAGTGACACTGGTTGCTTTGGGTGGGACATATCTGCAACCATGGGATAATCAAAGGAAAGAAAGAAGTGCTCAGCAGGCAATAGTGGTGCAGGCCTGTAATCCCAGCACTTTGGGAGGCTGAGGCAGGAAGATCATAGTTCCAGCTCTACGTGGACAAATTAGCAAGACTCTGTCTCAAAATAAAAAATTTAAAAAATGACTGGTGACAGACCTCAGGGTAGTGTCTTGGGTTCGACACCAATCCTGCCCCCAAAATGCTAATGCGTATGGGGCTTCCTTTTTGGGTGTGAGAACTTTCTGGAACTAGATAAGGGTGGGGGTTGCAAAACTTTGTGAATGCGCTCAAAGTTAGCAACTGTGCACTTTGTAATGGTTAAATGATTAAAATGGCGAATTTCATCTGAGTTGAACTTTACTGCTTCTCTCTCTGTCATGCAGATGTATTAACTTTAACTTTTCGTATTTGTACTAACTTTTGGAAAAATACTTAAAATGGATAAGAAGCTAGATAGAGACAGAAAGGGAAACGGTGAATATCATCAGGTCACGGACAGTAAACTACAGACAAGGTCTGGCTGTGGCAGGTTCTTAAAAACGCACCGAGTTGTGTGCGGGAAGCAAAAACATGAGTGCTCTAAAAGATCATGAGAAAGTCCCACATCTCTAATGTAAAATAACAACCGTGTAACTGGAATAATGAGAAAGTCACTTGACACATTAATTCTCAATACAAAAGGGGAAAATGACAAACATCTTCAATGTTGGCAAAGAAAGCACTCTCGCCATCTGGAACACATTTCCTGGAAACTGATGAACAATATATACTAAAGCCGCTCCAGTCCACTGACCATTGGATCCAGGCAGTTTTATGTATAGTGCTATAATTTAATAACCACTATGTAAAAAGATTAACCTATTGGGTATTCAAGGCTGTGTTATTTATAATAGAAAAAAAGAAAATAGAAGCAACTTAAGTGTGCATGAATAAGATATGATTCAGATAAGGTGTTCAGCTTTTTATATTAAAATGCTAGGGAAAATATATGTGTATATGCCATAATACCCAGTTAACTGGGAAAGTATTTGTGATATTGTCACAAGAATTTATTTTAAAAATAATATGATTCTAGCAGGGCAGGGTGGCACACACCTGTAGTCCCAGCCTTTGAGAGGCAGAGGCAGGAGGATTTCCATGAGGATGAGGCCAGCATGGATTATATACTGAGTTTAAGGTGAGCCTGAGCTACATAGTGAGATCCTGACTTTAAAAAATGAAAAAAAATATGATTCTGATTCTTATAAATGTGCATGGATAAGTATTCATAGTGAATATCTTTTTTTATTTTTAATTTTTAAAAATTTATTTATTTATTTATTTTTTATTTTTTTGAGACAGGGTCTCGCTATGCAGTTCAGGCTGTCCTTGAGTTCACTTTGTAGCCCAGGCTGGTCTAGAACTCACAACGATCCTCCTGCCTTAGCCTCCTGAGTGCTGGGATTACAGGTGTGCACCACCACGTCCAGCCATAGTGAGTATCCTGACAGTTGCAATGTAGGCAATGCTTACTGTTTCCCAATAACTGTGTTAAATGCTTTATAAGACACACAAAGCAAGAAGTGTTAAGACCCCAATATGATAGAGGAGGAAACTGAGCTTCAGAGAGGTTATGCACTTTTCCTAAAATCACACAGCTCATAGATGGTAGCTGTGGATCAGCAGGTGTAACATTCTGTACCAGTCTCATAACAACTTAGTCCTCGGCGCTGTTCTGGTTTATATCTGGATGCTCCCCCAGAGTCTCACGTGCTCAGAGGGGGACTGGGGAGAGCAACTGGACCACAAGGATGATAGAAACGTGACTCAGGGGGTGGGCCCTGATCCGAAGAGCTGGGGTGCTGGGTCCCTGTGACCTGGAGTTGCATCTCCCACGCTGGCTCATCCTTTGCTGTGTTTCCTGGCTGCCGTGACAGGAGCAGCTCTCTCTGCACCTGGGGCAGACCACGCAGAACTGCAACTTTTCACACCATGAGCCCAAATACACCTGACCTCCTCTGTGCTGTGGGTTTTGGGAACTGTATCTCAGCAACAAGAAGGTCACTAAGACGGTCACTAAGACGATGCACATTCCAAAGGCACTTGCTGAGTTTTTGCCAGAAGAAAGAAAAGACAGTAGAGAACAAGAGAGGACAGAGGGCTGCACCTGCTGTCCTTGAGTGTTGAGACTTCGGTGTTGACGCTGCAAAGCTTCTGCCTCAGGATCCACAGCGTCCAACTCAGGAGGACCGAGTTGATCTGCAAAGTCAAGCAGAAAGGGCTCGGGATTGGGTATTCCCACGCACAAAGACCAGGTCAGCCCATCTGTAAAGACAGAACTCTGAGCCACAGCGTCTAGCAAACAAACCGAAGCCAGACGGCAGCACTTTGTAGAAACTGCCTGTATTAAGCGCTTTCTATCACCCGGCCAAAAGACACGACACCTGTGACTTAAAGGTTTGTCCTTCAGAGGGTTCAGTCCATGGTTGGTTGACCTCAAGGCAGAAACAGCATGGTGGAGGCGTGTGGTGAAGGAATGCTGAGTGCCTGGTGGTTGAATAAAGTAACCAAGGACCCTGCCAAAATCATACCTCTGTCGTGAGGCGGTCTGAGCTGCCATTTGGAGAATCTAGATCCTAAAATATTCATAAATGAGAGAAAGTTTTTTTTTTTCTGGTACCGGGAATCGAACTCATGACCTTGCGCTTGCCAGGCAGGCGCTGTGCCTCTGAGCTAAATCCCCAGCCCCGTGAGAGAAAGTTTATGAACTGAGGGAAGGGTAAATCTGAGAGCGTCATAGTTGCCAAAAATGAAAGGCTGTGTTGCAATGAGCAGCTGCTGTCCTCCTGTACCGATCCCCCGTGGCACCTGCAGCAGCCCCTTTCACGCGATGGCAGCAACCATTAGCTGGAGTAAAATCCACTGCCTGGAGCACAGGTGGGCAATTGCTTCATGGGCTTGGGCACTTAACTTCTTTGATGCCACCAAACACAGTGTCTTTCACTTGGTATGGGAACTAACGAGGCAGCTCCGCCTCCCATGTGTTTGATGGTCTTGAGGGGCTGAGCGTATCTGCACTCTCATCAGACAGAATGCGGTGCATGCATTTCTCGTAATTCTCATAGTGTGTCTCTGGCTCTGCATAAGTTAGAAACCCATGTCGTTGCTATGAAGAGGTTTATGCTGAACCTGCTCATCCTCACTTCCCGCTACTTTAGGAAAGTGGCTATTTTTATTGGCATAAGTTTGCAGTACATAATAAACACATTCATCATGGGGGATTGTACACATACATATTGTATCTTAATCATTTTTACTTTCCCTACCCTCCTCCCCACCTTCCCTCATCCTCAGATCCCCTTCCCATCTCCGCAAAGTCTACCTCCCTGTTTTCTATCATCTGCCTTTCACTGGGCTCTTTAAATTAGTTATG